CTAATGTAATATCACACTTTTGTGAGGTGAAAAAACAACCAGGAAAAAAATTATAACAACATTATTTTGTTAAGCTTGCGTAAAGTCAACAATTTGGGGCTAAATCCCAAGACGAATTCATTTAAGAAGAGATATTTCACCTGTGCTACTGATGTACACACCTCCAATTACTTTGCTCTTTCATTATTTCTTGTTTTGGTGACAACTTCAGAATTATACTCCCTGAAATTGAGATTACATCTTGTTTATTACCAGGTACTTTGTAATTTAGTTTCTGTCATCTTCAATTTTCAATGGCCAGTAGTACAATGGATAATAAGTCAACCTTGCTCAAAGTCAATACTTTTTTCTGTCCGGGGTGTCGACCGTACATGTATCAGAATTCCTCTGTAACTTGTTTTATTTGTAATTAAGGCGTCTTATCGTTGACATGAGTCTCAATTGTTTCCAATTATTAATAAACAAGAGTGTATTCAATATTTTGCTTGAATGATTTACTCTATTATTTTCAGTGCTCATATTATTATGTGCATGTATGTGTGTATGTGTTCCGCGCAATTAACCGAACTGCACATGCGCTGCGCGATTTTACGATCGTTAGATTGCGCGGTCATCTTAAGATTGCGCTGCGCGTTTTAACAACGGTATAATTGCACGGCAATCTGAAGATCGCGTTAATATTTACATGTATTTTTAAAATATATTTTTTTAAAATACACTTCCATCTTTATTCTTTTACTCACATCAAGGAACATTCACATCCGTTTTCAAAAGTGAAAAAAAAAATTAAAATTAAAATTAACATATAAAACTGAAGAGCTCACAAGAATGATACAGTGCCAGGTATCAAACTCAAAGTTCACAAAGTACGGTACATAAGAACAAATAAAGATGGAAGTGAATTATTCTTTTTTTTATTGTTTGAAAAAATATGAAACATATCTTCAGATTGCCAGGCAATTATCATCATCATCCAGTGCCAGATCTGCGACAGACATCGGCGATCATGGTTTTCCATTCATTCCTTTGCTCTAAGAAAAAAGCTACGTTTCCCTG